GTTAAAAAACAACAGCAGCAGCAGCAGCAGCAGCAGCAGCAGCAGCAGCAGCAGCAGCAGCAGCAGCAGCAGCAGCAGCAGCAGCAGCAGCAGCAGCAACAACAACAACAACAACAACAACAACAACAACAACAACAACAACAACAACAACAACAACAACAACATTAGTGCTGGGAGATTTCAGTACCATTTTGTCTTTGTTCTGGCTTATGGGTTTCTGAATGAAACAAAGAGTTCTACTAACTAAGTTTATTAAAACCGGAGGAAAAAGTAGGACAACTAGAAGTTGGTGGACTTTTAGAGGAAGGAGGCCCTGAAGCAGCCTCTCTTAATCCTATGTTGTTGTATAATTTGTGTTAATTGTAGGGGAGTTGTGTTCCAGATGAGGGAGGACAGTAACTGCAGTGATGTTTCTTCTTTTGTACATCACTAAACTGGGTCCCACATTGCATTGAGCCATGCTGATTTGTGCAGCGTCTATTGGATCCGGCCCCTTCTGCCTCCCCTTTTGGCAACAGATATTTTTTCAAGTGGGCTGGCTGGGTAATGCGAATACTTACACAATAAAGATGAGCTTTTCCAAGAGTTTTTGGTGTCCATGAAATAGATATTACCTGCGTGGTAATCATGAGATTGAAGTGGCGAGCTCTTATGAAGAATCTTCCAGCACTGCCGTCCAAATCAATGGCAGGCTCTTTTCCATTTCCCCCGGAGTGGTGAAAGCTTCCCCCCCTTTTAATGCAAGAAAATGGACAGGGTTAGTAAAATAATATCTGCTTTACTATAGAATTGGGCAATGTTCGCACTGCCTTGTTTTGAACAGTTTCAAATTGCCCAGAACTCCAAGTCCTAGTTTCCAAAAGATTAGATAATAAGGCTTTGCATGACAGTATAGAGCTAACCCCTTCTCCGCAGCTTCCATTTCGCCCTTGCGATAATCATGGGACAGAGCGCCCGAGGGGCCTGTTTCAGACTTAACTGGGAGAGAATGGTGCTCAGCACCAAGGTCTTGTGTGATGGAGGCCCCGTGGGCGGCAGCATGGCTGACTTTAATTCATCGCTACCATTTCAAGACACGGCAGCCCTTTCTGGAAATCAGCAAGGATTGGTTAGCCACATTGATCGATGTGAGTTTAGAGAACCATGCATAAAATGGTCCACGTACTGTACGGTGCTTTTTCAGTATTCCAAGGGCTTCTCTGACATTGTCCTGGCCACTCCTGCAACAGCTGTGAGGGTAGATCCAAGGGATTATATTTCACAAAAACCGTTCTGGTTCATATGGAATTATAGAGGATAACATTTTTTTTGTAAAAACTCACAGACTGGTTTCTATAAAGCTCTTAGTTTCCCTACAAGTCCACCACTTAGGATAGAAGCAACCTTCTTTTGATTTGCATTTCCAACATTTGTTGGAGGTACTTTGATGTATTTCCGATGATTTTTCAGGTGTCCTATGCCATCTATAGAACGTCTTATACACCTTTTCTTTGTAACAAATTGCTTTTGTTAGCTTAATGTTACCTTCCCATGTTTGTGACCATGACTTTTAAGTTGTGGCCCACCTTTTGGGCCTATTTTATCATGCATTCTTTAACTTATTTCATATTGTGAGGGTCAGGAGTCCCTTTGAACTGCTGCACAGATGCTTAGCTGCAGGGCAGGGGAACCCGCATCAGGAAGGGAGCCAAATCCCACCCCCACCCACCTGCACAGACCTTCATGGGCCAGATCAGGTCACGGGACAAACTGAGTGATATCTTCAGAGCCCTGTTGGCCAAGGACCAGGTTTCGCCCTGCCCCAACTTTCCCAGAGGGGGACAAGTTGAGGAGGAGCAATGCACAGTCCACGCTCACCCTCCAACAGACAGATCCCCACCCTGTAAACTGGCATGCGCTTGAACCGTCTGAGTGTAGGTCTGACCCCCTTCCCTGCCCAGGGGTAGTGCACAAATCAAAGAGTGCTCCAGTGTTGTGAGCTCATGGAAGGCCACGCATGCCGTGACACAACTCCCTGTGGCATACACTGAGGTGCAGCGTGTATGTGCATTGTGGAGGGGAGAGAACCAGGACAACTCGAAGCTTTGCCTGGCCTCCTGTAAAACGTTCCACAGGTGATATGGACCTTATGAACATGGACTGTTTCTGAATTAAAATTCCGACTGTCCCAGTAGAATGATAGGCTCAACCAAGCAGTGGGGAATCAATGCAATATGGGGGAAATCAACACAATATCATTTTTCTCACACACAAGGGAAAACATTTGAAGATTTCTTCTTTGATTAGGTGGATAAAGCAACTGGAGAATTCAAAAATATAGATTTTTCTGCCAGACTGGCAACATGGATTAATTGGATCTTGCATTGGCCGTATTTTTTGACTTAATCTGATAATAACATGACCGGTGTGATTTTCCAAATCTTTGCGCCGCTTCCATGCTGGTCATCTTAAAATGTTTTCCCCTCCTCCATCTGATTCTTTAGTATGAAGATGAAGAGGCTGCCGAAGAGTTCAAAATTTCCAGCTTCGTAGACATGGTTCGTGACTGCAGTCGGATCGGCATTCCCTTTAGCTCACAAGGTAGGTTTCAAAACCAAAGTAGCGCCTCCGGGGAAGGAAGTCGTGGCTCCGTATAGTCACCGCTAGAACTGCCCCGGTTCCATATACATAAACTCTAGCCGACTGGTTTGCAAGGTGGGCTTAAATGGTGAAAACCCAGATTCAGGTCCTTGCTTAGACAGGCATCTGATGCCAATGTTGACAAGGAGCCTTGTGGCACAGTGATTAAAGTGCAGTACTGCAGCCGAAACTCTGCTCACAACCCGGGTTCAATCCTTGATAGCTACTTCGAGGCTCACTCACCCTTCCATCCTTCTGAGGTTGGTAAATTGAGTACTGAGGGTTGGGGGGAAGGCTTGCTGAGGGTTGGGGGGAAGGCTAGCCTGCATATTTAAATTGTAAATTTATTTAAATATGCAAGTTGTAAACCACTCAGAGAGTACTTGGGAGCGGTATAGAAGCAGCACCCTTTTTTAACTTCAGTGATCCTTCATTAAAGATCCTTGTTCCCTGTGAGCAGTGGATCAACATGGTGGTTACGTCGCTGTGAGGAAGTGATTATAAGTCATCAGAGCTCATACTAAAATATATCTCTAAATCTCTGAGGTGCCACAATATTGTATTTTTGTTGCACATTTTAGAAATGAGTAATTGGGGACCCCCTCCCAAGTCATTTGAGTTAGTCATCGTGTGTTGTTGTTAATGGACTAATGAAGATATCCTCTATGCCTTCCTTATATAAAGCCTCTTTTATTCAGGGAAAGAAACAGCCCTCTTCTTGTTATGCAGGTTTCCCTTTTTAGAACATAAAAGATTGGACTCCAGTTTCCTGTGCATGACTCAGAGCCAGGAGAGAAAGCAGAACAGTCTTGATTTGTTTTTGCCGAAAATAACCCACTTATGGGATGCTGCAAGAAAGCGGCAACTCTCTTGCTTTTAATTCCGACTTTTAAAGAAGCCATTCTGGAAAGAGCACAACATGTGACAACCCCATGCATCGTAGGCGTTGCGGCAATAGGCTTTCCTTGGTGGAGACTCTTCTGTGTAACGCCACTTAATCAGCACCCGTCTATTATTTTTTTGCTTCTCGTATCAAGGCATTCCCTTGGTCTCAAGAGAAGACTTTTGGGTATTCTTGAGTGAAATCAGTTGTCATGTTTTTTTTGTAACGGTGAGAAGCATGATTGGAGTTTGTTGCATCAGCTCAGCCAAAAACTCTGCCGAACCCTGAGGGTTTCTTTTCAGTACATAGACATTTGAGAGTAGAAGAGACCGAGCTTCTCTTTTGCCTTGCACGGCCTTTTAACTTTATACCCATGACCCGGATGCTTAACCAGATTTAAAACAGGTCATTATGAATCATTTGCTTCAGAGCTGAGACTCTTCTAGTTCACTGGTTTTTTGGTTTGTGGTCCTTCGCTCCTGGTGTCATCTTTTCTCACATGGTTCTTTAGAATTTAAGGCAACAGAGAGCAAAAATGCCATACGGCTCCACTTTGCCAGATAGGCAGAGAAGGAGGAGGAGAAATGGAGGCATGATATTGTCGTGTCTGGGTGTCAGCTGGTCCAAACCGATACAGCATCTTTGTCCGGATCATGCAGCATTTCTCTTTGGTTGGACATTTTTGCCACTTACAGAGATACGATACGACTGTCGTGAAGAAAGGGTTGCTCTTTTTCATTAGAAAGCCTTGGAAAGGGCCTTTAAGATATGAGTCATAAGATAAAACATGGTTGTCCAAAAGTAACAAAAGAGAATGGCAGATGCAGTAAACAATTGCTCTTCTATTGCATTGAGGAAAGTGTTTTTCTCTCTCAGATTTAGTATATCGGCTGTTTTCTTCTAAGGCAGTGGTTCCCAATTTTGGATCACCACAGTGTTCTTGGACTACAATTCCCAGAAGGCCTTCAACCACCAGCTGTATTGGCCGGGGTTTCTGGGAGTTGCAATCCATGAACACCTGGGTGACCCAAGGTTGGGAACAATGGCTGTAAAGCAAAGGTGATAAACCTTTGCTGAGCCAGATGTTTTAGACTACAACTCCCAAAGTCCTATGTTGCTGGCAGTGCAGGCGCAGGATTCCGGGAGTCCAAAACATCTGTAGTGTCAGAAAACTTCACTGCCCCTGTTTTAAGGAACAAATCTGACATGAAGTTGAATTAGATGGTGCATGGGGTCCTATCCAGTTCTGATCGTCTTCTCTGCCGCATCTTTTTTTGATCTTCATTTTTCTTAACTCGGGGAGAACATTTCCTGTTTTATTATTGCACTTACATCAGCCTACTTGAGTGGCTTTATCATCTTTAATGAAGAAGAGTTTTGGTCTCCACTTGATTACCTTGTACGTGTGTTCACGCTTGCATGCCGTCATTTTCCTCGTACTTACACATTCCCCGGGTTTATAGGCTGAAAGGCTGCCTCAAGCAAACTGCAAACAAAACTCAAGGATCTATAGAAGCCAATCTTCCTCTGATATTCTGAGTGTGCTCTTTTATCCTAACCTGAAAGGATCAAAGAAACACTTGACTCATTGGCAGGTTTGCAGTGCAACACTTCTGAAGGGAAGGAGAATTATTTCGAACATTTTAATTTGTTTTTAATTTTCACCAGTATTTCATATATGTCCTTATAATTTTAAATGTTGCAGCGGTCTGATAATGAATAAAGAAAGAAAGGTCAAATGAACCAACAGAACTCCAGCAATAAGGGAAGCTTAATCTGGAGAAAAATATGAATTTTTGTTGTCTTTCACTTGAAAATCACGGTGGTGAGGTTGTTTGAGAAGGACAGAGAAATGAGATTCCTTGCCCGGTCCTCAAAAATGATGGTTTGTTTCCCTTCAGGGCATCTGCAGATCTTTGACATGTTTGTTGTCGAAAAGTGGCCGATAGTGCAGGCTTTTGCCCTAGAAGGAATAGGGGGAGATGGCTTCTTTACGATGAAATACGAGGTAAGGGCTTAAGGTTTGTTGCGCTAAATAATGCTCCCTCTGTGATGTCTCCTGGAAAGTGGACCAGAACGATGTGAGGGGAAAGGGTCAGCTCATCTTCCTAGTCTTACAATATTCTGGAATAGTACAGCATATTTCATTATTTTCCAGTGGCCCTTAACATTGGCCAAAATCCCGTTGCTTAGTAGAGTAAATGGTACTAAAATAGGCCCATTGATTCAATGGTGAATCAACTCCTCTATAAGTTCCAGTGATTCAAATGGTCTGCTCTAATTGTGACTTTCTTCTGCATGGTAGGTTTCAATTAGAGTAGGCCTATTAGAATCAGTGGAACCTATGGGGGAGTTGACTCACCAGATCTCCACTGTTTCATTGGGCCTACTCAGATATGACTTACGCTGCTGAGCAACTGGATTTTGGCCTTTGAACCTTTGCGTCTCTGTAGCCTTCTTTAGTGATTCTGGATGAAATGCTCTTCCATCTTACCTTTTGCATCATGCTCTTTGTGCAGGGTTTTGTTTTGTTATTTACCTTTGGAGCTTGTGCAAGGGCATATTCGCTACTCTCTTATGTATGTGGTAGCCCATGTGCTTGTGCAATAACAAGCAAGGGATTGTGTGACAGCTCCATAGGCCGGGCATTGCCAATGGAATTAAACCAGGGGGTGTAAGTATTAGGAATCCTGGCTTCCCTTCTTAAAAGCAAGTCTTGGGGGAAAAGAATAAAAGAAATCAAGATTTGCTGCTGTTTTTCAAAACGATTTGTACAGTTATAGTTCAGTTCTGTGAACTGCTAGAAAGGTTTCTCGTGGGCCTAAAATGGGAAGATATGCATAAAATAGTTCCTTTGTAAGGCTACCGGGTGCTCAGTAACTCACTGCCACCTCTTGCTCATGGTACTGGTCTGTAGACATTCTAGCATATTGTTTATACTGGCATTTAAAAGGCCCTGTGTAAATGGAGATCTTGCAATGCAGCGTTGCTTCTTTTGAGATGGAACGTAAACAGCCTCTCTTTATAATCCTTCAGTTGCAGCTCTTTTCTTTATGTGGGTTCCAGTGAATCCACAGCATCCTAGCACCGCTGGCTTGGTCATTCTTAGTAACTGCTTGGCGCTCCCTAAGTTCCAGCTTCCATTAGGGTTTTGGGAACAGGGAGGATAAAACCCCCCTCTGCGTTCATGCTCCTTCCAACACTTTTCCTTTCTCTTGCAGTTAATGGACGTCAGTGTGGATCTGTGGAAAGCTTATAGCAAAATGGATCCTGTTTCTTTGGAGAACTTGCTTTATGAGGTAATGTGGCAGTTATGTGTTTGCCTCCTGGGAATCCGCCCCCCCCCCGCAGAAAACAAGCCAGAAAGTGTGGGATTAAAGGCATATGTGCAGTTGCGGGATGGGGAGGGGAGGGCTGCCTGCCACAATTGCACATGGCGCCACATGCTGTACTTGGCAGAGCTTCCTTTTCTAAATATCCTCCAAACTAAAATGATTTGCCACAGAGCATCATTGAGTGAAGTGCTTTAGAACAGTCGTCATCCAATTTCCTATCATCGGAGAACCCGGGGATGTTAGGCGGAGTGGCGGCGGAATAATAATAATTAACAATAGTGTGCTGCCCATTCAGTTTTGACTTACGGCGACCCTTTTCGAGGGTTTTCCAAGAAGAGAATACACAGAAGCAGGGTTTACCGTTTCCTTCTTCCCAGGCCCCACGGGGACGGTGCAGCTTACCTATCAATATTATAAAAACATACATAAGAAATAAAACACGTCTGCCAGCTAGCTTTGTCCGCATGTGGCGAGGCTTGACTTCCCACCAGGAAGCTTTGCAAGAACGCCATGGTTCCATGGAATGCACAGCCCTCCCCACATGCTGTATGGTGGCCCTGGCCCCGTTCACATGTCATAAGAAACTTGGGATGTGTGCAACATTCCCTCTAAGCTGTGCGCCGCTGTGTCCCCCTCCACACAGCGTCCCTGCCCCTCTGTGCCCCCACAGCGAGTGTTTCCAGCCCCTTTGGTTCCGTTCGGTGGGGGGGAGTCATGCGCGTGAGGGATGGAGCCCCACCTGGGGTGGGGGGGTGAAAAACAGAGGGAACGTTGACTTCATGTAGCAGGAAGTAGCCCTAGACTTCTGCACCTGGAACTTTGCTTCTGCTTTAGTCCAGTTGGCAAGGAGGAGCTTCGGAAGCTTTTCTCTCTTCCATTCGCTCTGCGTCCAAATTTTACCTGTTCAGCGTTAAACCCTAAGTCCTAAACTTCGATTCTTTTTAATGGTTTGGAACCATACAGTTTCATAACCCACCTTTTGAAATGGCTTCGGAGAAACAGACTGGAGATTCCGACCAGTTTGTAGAATTCAGAGTAATCAACAAATTATTGTCAATTGAAAAGGAAAGTGTGAGAGACCCCAAAAGCTTCTTGCATTTCTTCTCTACTGTGGCAAACCATAGTTTGTCATGATGTTTGAAGTCGCTCTGTGTGACCCTTGAAGCTTTGGCGTTACCCACGAAGAAGGAAGTCACACATGATTTGTGACTAAGCCCATTCTTTCTCTTGCAACCTCAGCAAACATGCTTGATGTTAGTTTATGGAGAATTGATGGGTGGGATCACATCTGCAAGATTCCCTCTGTTGCAGCTTTCTCCCCTTCTGCTTCCTGGGATGTGGTGGCCTGTTTTTAAATTGCTTTTGTAAATCTAGGTATGATAAAGCAATAAGGGGCTGTTCTAAATGAGGTTGGAAAATGGGCTTAGGCTGACACCTGGCGGCCGTTGGTTGAATTGCTCTACAGCTGCCTCTTTTTTTGGTTTTGAACCAACCCCTGTGCCCACAGAGCGGTTTTGACGCCTTCATTGCAGGCATCCATGCCTGAAAGGTAGTTGTGCAGGAACAGCAGGTACATATTGTGTAGCAGTAAGAAACCGGAGCCTGTTCCTTCCTCAAATGTTTTTTTCTGGTTTGCTGAAACGTAACTGTATGAATTCTTTATCAGCCATGCAGTTCTGGGTAGCTGCGCCACTGGAGGAGGCTCTGTATTGCGTGTCAGAGAGAGAAAGAGGTGGAAAGTAGATGGAGGAAAGATTTTTTAAAAAACAGGGACTATGAAGAGCAGGGTGTGAAATGAATTGTTAATGTAATCTCTGTCGAGTAGAAAAATAAAAATTCAGTGTACTAGGACTAATGGATATTTGATGGCATTACGAATAGCCTTTTAATAATAATAATACTTTTGTGCAAAGATGGACATGATAAAGGACAAAAATGGGAGGGACCTAACATAAGTAGAAGACATCAAGAAGAGGTAGCAAGAATACAGAGGAATTACACCAGAAAGATCTGGATGTCCTAGACAACCCAGATAGTGTGCTTGCTGACCTTGAGCCAGACATCCTGGAGAGTGAAGTCAAGTCGGCCTTAGAAAGCCTGGCTAACAACAAGGCCAGTGAAGGTGATGGCATTCCAGCTGAACTATTTAAAATCTTAAAAGATGGCGCTGTTAAGGTGCTACAGTCAATACGCCAGCAAATTTGGAAAACTCAGCAATGGCCGGAGGATTGGAAAAGATCAGTCTACATCCCAATCCCAAAGAAAGGCAGTGCCAAAGAATGCTCCAACTACCGTACAATTGCACTCATTTCACACACTAGCAAGGTTGTGCTCAAAATCCTCCAAGGCAGGCTTCAGCAGTATGTGGACTGAGAACTCCCAGAAGTACAAGCTGGATTCCGAAGGGGCAGAGGAACTAGAGATCAAATTGCTAAAACATGCTGGATTATGGAGAAAGCCAGAGAGTTCCAG